TATAATATCATATTTATTAATATTCTGTATGCTATTTAACAAAGCATTAGTTATGGAGGACGATACATATATCTGCTACAAACACTATATACACTACAATACACTACAATCATTATATCTGATAGTATTAGTACATGAAAATAATACCTTAAATTAATGAAATAAATTTTTAAGGCGTATGAAGTATTAATATATGCAATATAAGTAAAGTAAATAAGAGAAGAGACGATATTATTACAGTACTTATTTACAAAAACTAATATATAAGTATTTATATGATATAATTAGTTTTAAAACATAACAAAATAATATTAAAAAAAGATAATAGCTAAAGAATGCTTACCGAGTAGTTCATTATTTTCACTTGGTGCAGCTTTCACTAAGACCAGAAGTGCGAAGAGAGCAAATAAGAAAGGGAAGATTTTGATTGCCATGATGATTAAGTACTTGAATAATAATTTCTTAGATTTACGTAAATGTTGGACATTTTAAATAAAACTATCATTTCGAATTATTTCGTGGATTTATTTTGATTTTTGGTTCCCGGCGTGTCGAGTGCTTTAGAGCAATCGTGGTCACGGGAGAGACTAAGGTTATATAGACGTCTCAAAGGCATTATACACTTGTTACAGACGGTGCCTCACCACTATTTTACAAAATTAAATTCAAAAATTCAAAAATGGCACCAAAGTATTTTTAAGTACCTACTTGAAGTTAGTTTTTCAACTATATGTTAAATGCTGCACTGTAACTACTTACACAAGCCGTAATAAAGATAAGTATTTCCAAGTATGTAACGTACTCGTATTGACATATTGTAAGAATTAGGACAACTGTAATAAAATGATAAAGGTAGAATAAATGGAAAGCTGTGTTTGTGTATTAAAATAATTTGTTAGAAATATGAGTAAAATCTGCTGTTCGTATATTTTATAATTTCTATTATATCTATACTAATATTATAAAGAGGTAAAGTTTGTAAGTTTGTGCGAAGAGAGTATTTTAAAAATTCAAGCCTTTTATGAACTTTTGTAAAATTAATTAAGTCTGTTTGAAACTAGAGTTTAACATGATTAATCAGCTTACGGAAACTATGACAATATCCTTGAATAACGCTTCACTACATTTTATGTATGTATGTCTCTATGGTTTCAGAATAGGAACAGTGACGTCGTTTTAGGCAAAGACATATTTAGATTTCGATTAGTCGAATATATCAGATTTCTTTAATTTTTAACTAATTTGTCATATTGTTGAAACTTATATCAAATAAAACAACAAAATCATCAGTATAAGTTAATTTAAAATAAGTTAATCCCTCCACGACCGCAGACACGTCGGCGTGTCAGTTACAATAGATTTCTTAGAATTTTAATTAATTTTTTAGAAAACCTGGAGGTTTTGAGAATCTTTATAATGAAAGATTTTCAGTATTTAAAAGTAAAAATCGGTCAAGTGACTAGGCATTTGGACTTAGAGGAATTTAGTTTTTTAAGCAATTTAGATAAATGGTGATAATATAAAAATACCCTTTATCAAAAATTTTGTTTGTTGTTGTTATTTCAGATAAGGATATAATTGCGAAAATATTATCTATCGTGATAGCCAATAGTATAAATTGCATCAGTATAGCACTAAGAGCATAATACAAAAGCTAACGTCAAGTAAGCATCATGATGATAAAAACCTTCTCTCTCTTAGTCGCGCTCTCCGCACTACTGCTCATAGCGCAAGCTACGCCATCTGCGAGTGAAACCAATGAACTATCTGGTGAGGACGCCGTTGTTTAATATTGTATAATTATTAATAAATCTTATAATTAGTGTAAAGGAAATAAACTATTTTATTTATTTTCTTTATTTTAAATTCACTTTATTGATCTTTAGACATTTTAGTATCTTTTAAAAATATTCAAACGTTGAAACATCCTTACGTCACGTTGCATATTATTTTAAAACGATCAATTTTGGCACCTTGAATGATTACTCATTACTTACTCTCTACTCCTCATTTCTTTTAGCTGTTGTATATTTCCGCACCTAAACTGAATCAAATGAAATGTGTTATTTCCAGATGTATTATTTATCGGCAACGTGGACACGAACCCCACTATACTGAGCCCACAGGAGGCTCTGTTGGGAGGCGCCCAGCGCAACCTCATCTGCACGCCTGTCTTGTGCGCGCGCGTGTGTGCGGCGCTCGGCTTCTGGTGGAGCGGCTGCAATGCTAACAGAGTGTGCGTTTGCAGAAGATAATGTGTTTTAATGTAATTTTTAAACAGGAATAAATATTTTATTAAGTATTTACGTAGTTTGTTACTCTTGAACCAATATTTTTTAACCTATATATGTATCATCTCTTTCGCTATTTGTTAGTTCAAACAAGTAATAGATACGATTATACTTTATCGGAAATATTTCTATTTAAGATATAATGTAAGTCACTGAAAACCTTCGTATTCAAAATGATTAAAAAATAACTACGATGACTCCGACTGTGTGTAGTAAAAGTTTTTTTTTTAAACTCTGATTTGCGTAGCGTTTAAGGTGAGTTCTATGGATTGAATAAGATCTTGTTACTATGCTTCGATAAATACTTATACGACTGCTAAATTCATGTGAGGAGTTCACAAACCTGTCGAGCGACGCCTGTTGAGGGATGTGTTTTGTAAAAACTTTGACTATACCTAAAAAGTCTACTTACGATAACGCGTGGTATAGACTTACGTTGAATCACCTAATAGAGATGTAATTTCGTATGAGCATTACATTATGTACATAACTTTAAAAAAATATTAACAGAATTTAAAAAAATATATGCGTATATATATTCGTATATTATGTCCAAGTGATCTAGTAGCTAGCATGTACGGTAGCAGATTCAATGATCTTGGGTTTGATTCCCGGGCTTAGTTAAGATTAGCTATTGAGTTCTTCTGTGAAAAAATTCACAGCAAGAGCCCAGAGCTAGGAAGTTGGCGGCGTTTCAAGAATATTCTTCGGGATACTCTTGTTTTTTACTATGAAACAAATGTATATATTTTCTTACCTTGAATAGTCCAGTCATTTAAGCTTAAATTAGGTAAGAATCTCGGAATTCGAGATACTCAGCTGTAAGTTTGTAAATACTTGTATATTGAAACCCTTAAAGTTGTCTCAAAACCTACATATGGTAGGGTGTACGCAACTATTAAATTTCAAGGTCAAAGGCCACAAAAATCGTTTTTTTGCGCTTTTTTTGTAAATATCTCATTGCTTATGGGTTTTTGCTATTTGTATTTATTATCAATATTGTAGAATATAAAATTCTCTACAAATTTTATTTAAAAACTTTACAATAATATAGTTCTTACATGACAATAATAAATCAGCTACTTTTTATCCTGGAAAATTAAAGGGTTCCCGTGGGACAGTCAAAAAACTATTGTAAATTATACAGCTTAATACACAAAAACTACTGAGTATATTTTAATGAAACTTTACAATAATATAGGTCATACATCAGAATAACAAGTAGGTTACTTTTTATCCCGGAAAAATGTACGGTTCCCGTGGGATAGATGTTTTTGTTTATTTGTAACGTATTATGTACACAACATAGCCCCCAAAACAATGGTTATCAAAAAAATTGTCTGTTTGTCTGTTTTTGTATGCGCGTTTCACGCGAAAAGTAATGAACCGATTTCAACGTTTGGTGAAGTGATAACTTATTACTCGAGTCAACGTTTAGGATACCTTTTACTTCAAGAAAATCTTTTTTTCTCACGGGAAGATACAATAACTGGTTGTATCGAGTCCTCCCTAGAAACCTTCCGCTGGCTAAACCTTAAGACATACATACATCAAAACAATATACTAAAAATTGTAGGTCTTGAAAAGTCCTACAGGAAAGTTCTGAATAGTATATGTATATCTCACACACACGCATTTTACCTAGTTGTTTATTTATACAATGCAATTTTTAAATGCCTTTGAGTAAAAACAGTATTTTATTAGCTTCTTTCTTCCAAAACCTCCAAGAAGTTGAACCTAAGCAACTTAACAGAAATTTGGTTGGGTATAGAAAATGGTAATTATATCCATAGCAACGTTTGAATAGGTATCTCAAGAAGGCCTTTTGTACCTTTTCTAATATAAGTCATATTAAAAAAGATATAAAATATACATACTTTTTCTCATACGTTATGAAAACGTGACTGTAGAGCTCTCAAATTGCAGCAGCAGAAACAGATTCAAGTCAAATAAATCAGTTCTATTAGTTCATTAACTAATAATAATAACATTCTAAATATTTAACACCTTTAATGCAATAATCTGTTTTATCTATAAAATATAGTAGTCGTATATATACAATCAATGAAGATTGTTTTTCAGGGGATGTACTGAGGATAACAATTGTAAATCATTTAAATTATCGATAAAAATCTAAATCCTTACTGACCTTTTTTGTCTTTATCTATTTATAATATCCTAGAAGTACCTGCGGCTTCGCCTGCGTTCAAAGTACAAAAAAAAATACACTTAACTCTTAACATGAAGCCAAACTTTATGTTATAACTTATCTATACAGATAAACAAAATTGAAGTGTCCGTTTGTAATATCAAAACAACAGCTTTTTTGTTTTGAAAAGCATTATTACCAAGTTTCAAGTAATTCTGATCATAAATATTTTTTTTGTTGTGCCCGTGTCACTCTCCAGCTCTCTAACTAACATCACATAAAAAATTACACCAATCCGTCGCTCCGGTTTCGACGTAAAAGAAGGACAAACAAACAAATAAATAAACACTTTCACTCTTTAAATATTAAGTATAGTAAGTATGGATATGGATAGTTTTATTATATTTGTTTTTCACTGTAAAACAAATGTATATATTTAATTGCCTTAAAAAATTATTTATTTCATATATTATTTATTTCAAGAAAGAGAGAAAAAAATGAGTACTGCATAAAATCATATTTATTTATATTCTGTATCTTATATCACAAGGCATTAGTTATTTGCTAAAAACACACACTCCGTTAGCATCGCAGTGGCCCGTCTTGAAGCCCAGCGATTGACACAAGCTCGCGCACTGCCCAGGGTTGCACGTACGTTTGTGCTGCACCGGAGCCAGCGCCTCCTGCGCGCTCAGCACCGCCGGAAACGTGCCGGGGTCCTCAATATACAATATATCTGGAAGTGTTAAATTATTTGTCACTTTTGCTCATATGAAAAAATCTATTGAGTTTTTATGTAGGTGTGTAAGATAAATGTTACTTAGTACATATTGTCTTGGCTCGTCTTGGTGGGGCCACGGCAGTGCCAAGCCAAGCGAAGCGTTAGGGCACTGCCTACCTTTTCTCGAAGCGCTTCGTCCTTTTTTTGCACCCTCATAACTTGGGTTTGAATTATACCAGATAAACAAAATTCTCGGAATATGATGTAAATAGTAGACTTATTAAATTTGTAAAGTTTCAATTGCACAGCTCTTATACTTTAGAATTTATTGATATCTAAAAAAACTCCGATTTCGTCACTGACTCACTGATGATCATCAAAATTCTTAGGGTACTTCCTGAAGAAAGCCACATATTTTGATGATTTGAGAGGTGTAGATTTTGTGAAGTTAGGGCGTATAAATATTTTTAAGAGAGAAATTAAATTAACTAAATAAATATTTAAAGTATTATTACAAGCAATAAAAGTAAAGTAAATAAGAGAAGAGACTGGATAATATCACAGAACTTACTTACAAAACTGGTATAATTAGTTTTTAAACATAAGTAGGTAAAAGCTAAAGAATGCTTACCGGGCAGTTCATCATTTTCACTTGGTGCAGCTTGCACTAAAAACAACAGTGCGAAGAGAGCAAATAAGTAAGGGAAGATTTTGATTGCCATGGTGATTACTTGAAGTTAGCTTTTCAACTATACATATGTTAAATGCTGCACTGTAGCTATTTATGTAAGCCGTAATAAAGATATGTACGTAAGTTTTTCCAAGTATGTGACATACTCGTATTGACATATTCTAAGAATTTGAACTACTGTAATAAAAAGAAGAATAATCATAATTAAATATGTTTATTTCATCTGTATGTCGGTTTTGTGAACTTATAAATAAATAAATTAATTACTTTTAAATATTTATATATTTAAAAGTAATTAATTTATTTATTTATAAGTTTTATTAGTTAATATTTATATATTTAATTAACATTATTATTTTATAATTTTAACACATAAAATAATATGTAGATAATTTTTAATCCACACACATTACGTCGGGATACAATTTGCACACACGATGCACGTCGGCATATTCATATTCATAGTAATAAAAGTGTATCACTTACCATTTAATATAATTATATACATAAAAACAATTTTTAGTTCACACATATTACGTCGGAACAATTGCTTTCATAGTATCCACACACAAAATGCCGGGATAGAATTTGTACACACGATATACGTCGGCATATTTATAGTAATAAATACTTTAGAATAATTATAATTAAGCATATTTATTTCATCTGTATGTCGGTTTTGTGAACTTATAAATAAATAAATAAATAAAAACTATAAAGGTAGCAGAGACGGAAAGCTGTATAAGCACATGAAAAGAATTTGTTAGAAATATTAGTAGTTACTAATAGTTAAATAAAACTGTCTTTTACAGACAGTGCCTACCCACTATTTTACAACTGTCTGTAACAAGTATGTGTTTGAGACGTCTATAACCTTAGTCTCTCCCGTGACCATGATTGTTGTAAAGCTTTCGAATCGTCGGGAACCAAAAATCAAAATAAATCCGTGAAATAATCGGAAAAGATATTTTTATTTATATTAGATGTCTTGAATTTTTCACTATTTTGTCATATTATTCAAACTAATATCAAATAAAACAATAAAATCCGTAGTAGGTAAAAATAGTATATAGTACTTCACGAATCTCTATAATGTAAGATTTTCAGCATTTAAAGGTTAAAATAGGTCAAGTGCTAGTCACATTCGGGCTTAGAGGAATTTAGTTTTTTAAGCAAGTTAGAGAAATGTTAGAGAAATAGAAATACCCTTTATCAATATGTTGTGTTGAAATTAGATTTAGTTCTAATTTTTTATCAATACAATTATACTTAAAAGAAATGCAATAAACTACAAATAAGTATGTCTCAGATAAGGATATAATTGCGTCTGTTCACGAAAATATTATTTATCTTGATAGCCAACAGTATAAATAGCAACGGAGTAGCACAAAGCGCATAATACAAAAGCTAACGTCAAGTAAGCATCATGATGATCAAAACCTTCTCTCTCTTAGTCGCGCTCTCCGCACTACTGCTCGTAGCGCAAGCTACGCCACCTGCGAGTGAAACCAACGAACTAACTGGTGAGGACCTTGTTGTTTAATATTGTATAATTATTATTAAATCTTATAATTAGTGTAAAGGAAATACACTATTTTAATTATTTTCTTTATTTTAAATTCACTTTATTGATCTTTAGACCTTTTAGTATCTTTTAAAAATATTCAAACGTTGAAACATCCTTACGTCTCGATGCAAATTATTTTAAAACGATTAATTTTGGCACCTTGAATGATTACTCCTTACTTACTCTCGACTCCTCATTTCTTTTAGCCTCTGTATATTTCCGTCCAAAAATTGAATCAAATGAAATGTGCTATTTCCAGATATAATATTTATCGGCAACGTGGACACGAACCCCACTATACTGAGCCCGCAGGAGGCTCTGTTGGGAGGCGCCCAGCGCAACCTCATCTGCACGCCTGTCTTGTGCGCGCGTGTGTGTGCGGCGCTCGGCTTCTGGTGGAGCGGCTGCAATGCTAACAGAGTGTGCGTTTGCAGAAGATAATGTGTTTTAATGTAGTTTTTAAACAGGAATAAATATTTTATTAAGTATTTACGTAGTTTGTTACTCTTAAACCAATATTATTTTAACCTATACATGTATCATCTCTTTTCGCTATTTGTTAGTTCAAACAAGTAATAGATACAATTATACTTTATCGGAAATATTTCTATTTAACATATAATGTAAGTCACTGAAAACCTTCGTTTTCAAAATGATTAAAAAATAACTACGCTGACTCCGACTGTATGTAGTAAAAGTTTTTTTTAAACTCTGATTTGCGTAGCGTTTAAGGTGAGTTCTATGGATTGAATAAGACCTTGTTACTATGCTTCGATAAATATCTATACAACTGCTAAATTCATGTGAGGAGTTCACAAACCTGTCGAGCGACGCCTGTTGAGGGATGTGTTTTGTCAAAACTTTGACTATACCTAAAAAGTCTACTTACGATAACGCGTGGTATAGACTTACGTTGAATCACCTAATTGAGATGTAATTTCGTATGAGCATTAAATTATGCACGTAACAAAGAATTTCAAAAAATATGTGCATATATATTTATAGGTATATTATGTCCAGGTGGTCTAGTAGCTAGCATGTAGTGTAGCAGATTTAAAAATCCTGGGTTTGATTCCCGGGCTAGTTAAGTTTAGCCATTGAGTTCTTCTGTTAAGAAATTCACAGCAAGAGCCCAGAGCTAGGAAGTTGGAGGAGTTTCAAGAAATTTCCTCGGGATACTCTTGTTTTTTACTATGAAACAAATGTATATATTTTCTTTCCTTGAAATTTCAATCTCTTTAAATTGATTAAATCATTTACATTATCGATAAAAATTTAATCGGTTGATAAACACAGGAGAAAAAGGTACTGAACTGTTTTGTCGTAACCTATTTATATATAGATATTTGTTTTTCACTATATATTTAATGTATATATTTTACTGCCTTGAAATTTATTTATTCTACATCTTTAGCGCAGAATAGAAAGAGAAAAATGAGTACTGTATAATAACATATTTATTAATATTCTGTATATTATTTAACAAAGCATTAGTTATTTGCTACAAACACACACTCCGTTAGCATCGCAGCGGCCCACCCTGAAGCCCAGCGAGTGACACAAGCGCGCGCACTGCACAGGGTTGCGTGCACGCTGGACCGGACCCGGCGCCACCTGCGCGCTCAGCACCGCCGGGAACGCGCCGGGGTCCTCAATATGATGATGATATTCTTTTTTTGATGATGTTCTAGCCGAATCTAGCTACGTCGGCCAATCTCATTGAGACTAGCCAACATACAATACATCTGGAAATGTTAAATTATTTGTCACTTTTGCTCATGTTAAAGAATCAACGAAGTTTCTATGTATGTGTGTATAAGAAAAATGTCACTTAGTACATTTTATATATATTATTATATCTGATAATATTAGTATGTGCTTAATATGAAAACTATGTTATATGCTGCACTGTAACTGCTTATATAAGCCGTAATAAAGATAAGTATTTCTAAACATGTGACGTACTCATATTGACATATTGAAAGAATTAGGACAACTGTAATAAAATGATAAAGGTAGCATAGATGGAAAGCTGTGTTTGTGTTTTAAAATAATTTGTTAGAAATATGAGTAAAATCAGCTGTTCTTATATTTTATAATTTCTATTATATGTATACTAATATTATAAAGTCGTAAAGTTTGAAAGTTTGTGAGCTTGTGACGTTGTAGGGGGTAATCTCTAGATCTACTGAACCGATTTAGATGAAATTTGGTAAAAAGATAGTTTGAGACCCTGTGAAGGACATAGAATACTTTTTATTCCGGAAATCATCCCTCATGAAAATGGGGATTAAAGTTTTTATTGGGAAGCAAGCTAGGGGCGAACCTGAGCGAAGAGAGTATCTCTAGTATTCAATAATTCAAGCATTTTATGAACTTTTGTAAAATTAATTAAGTCTGTTTGAAACTAGAGTTTAACATGATTAATCAGCTTACGGAAACTATGACAATATCCTTGAATAACGCGTCACTACATTTTATGTATGTATGTATCTATGGTTTCAGAATAGGAACAGTGACGTCGTTTTAGGCAAAGACATATTAAAATTTCGATTAGTCGAATATATCAGATTTCTTTAATTTTTAACTAATTTATCTATTGTTGAAACTTATATCAAATAAAATAACAAAATCAACAGTATAAGTTAATTTAATATAAGTTAATCCCTCCACGACCGCGAACACGTCGGCGTGTCAGTTACAATAGATTTCTTAGAATTTTAATTAATTTCTTAGAAAACCTGGAGGTATTGAGAATCTTTATAATGAAAGATTTTCAGTATTTAAAGGGATAGGCATTTGGACTTAGAGGAATTTAGTTTTTTAAGCAATTTAGATAAATGGTGATAATATAAAAATACCCTTTATCAAAAAATTTGTTTGTTGTTGTTATTTCAGATAAGAATATAATTGCGAAAATATTATTTATCGTGATAGCCAATAGTATAAATTGCAACAGTATAGCACTAAGAGCATAATACAAAAGCTAACGTCAAGTAAGCATCATGATGATCAAAACCTTCTCTCTCTTAGTCGCGCTCTTCGCACTACTGCTCGTAGCACAAGCTACGCCACCTGCGAGTGAAACCAATGAACTATCTGGTGAGGACGTCTTTGTTTAATATTGTTTAATTTAAAAAAAAAAACTTATAATAAGTGTAAATGAAATAAACTGTTTTATTTATTTCCTTTTATTTAAAATTCATTTTATTGATATTTAGACATTATAGTAGATTTTTACAATATTCAAACGTTGAAACATCTTTCCGTCACGATGCATATTATTTTAAAACGATTAATTTTGGCACCTTGAATGATTACTCATTACTTACTCTCGACTCCTCATTTATTTTAGCTGTTGTATATTTCCGCACCTACACTGAATCAAATGAAATGTGTTATTTCCAGATGTATTATTTATCGGCAACGTGGACACGCACCCCACAATACTGAGCCCGCAGGAGGCTCTGTTGGGAGCCGCCCAGCGTAACCTCATCTGCACGCCTGTCTTGTGCGCGCGCGTGTGTGCGGCGCTCGGCTTCTGGTGGAGCGGCTGCAATGCTAACAGAGTGTGCGTTTGCAGAAGATAATGAGTTTTAATGTAATTTTTAAACAGGAATAAATATTTTATTAAGTATTTACGTAGTTTGTTACTCTTAAACCAATATTTTTTGACCTATACATGTATCATTTCTTTCGCTATTTGTTATTTCAAACAAGTAATAGATACGATTATACTTTATCGCAAATATTTCTATTTAAGATATAATGTAAATCACTGAAAACCTTCGTATTCAAAATGATTAAAAATTAACTACGCTGACTCCGACTGTATGTAGTAAAAGTTTTTTTTTAACTCTGAGTTGCGTAGCGTTTAAAGTGAGTTCTATGGATTAAATAAGACCTTGTTACTATGCTTCGATAAATGCTTATACGACTGCTAAATTCTTGTGAGGAGTTCACAAACCTGTCGAGCGACGCCTGTTGAGGGATGTGTCTTGTCAAAACTTTGACTATACCTAAAAAGTCTACTTACGATAACGCGTGGTATAGACTTACGTTGAATCACCTAATCGAGATGTAATTTCGTATAAGTATTAAATTATGTACATAATAATACTTTCTTAGATTTACGCGAATGTTTGACATTTTTAAATAAAACTATCTTTTCGGATTATTTCGCGGATTTATTTTGATTTTTGGTTCCCGACGTTTCGAATGCTTTACAGCATCCATGGTCACGGGAGAGACTGAGGTGTTACATGTCTTGAATGTATAGTTGTTACAGACAGCCTACCCACAATTAACAAATGAAAATTGCCTTACAATATTTTTTAACTTTAAACATTTTTTTTAAACATTTTTCTTAACCTTTAAAAAAAATATTCCACTTATATTAAAATCACCATCCGAAAATATAGTTTTATTTAAAATATAATTTAATTATCTCATGATTTTCACGTCATAATACGCTGTATGTGTCACTGCGATAGAATAGGTTAGAATCTCGTATAAGACAAATGTTTATGTCGCAAGAATTTTTTATGTTTCCTATCCTATATCCTACCCTAAAATTAAATTGTAAAATTAATCATGTTTGACTTAAAAAAACATAAAACCTATATAGAATTATTATGTTACCGATCTTTATGTTGATAATAACTATACAACCCACAACCTACCCCTACGTTTCGTATAGTATTCTTGTATGATGTTTTATCCACATAATGAAAATATTCCTTTACGTAATAACATTACTTGGCTTTCTTTATTTAGCTAAGCAATTCCTTTGGTAATAAGCTTCTTTTTGTATTTCAAAACCTATTATCGTTAAAGACACAAAAAATACTATACATATTATATAGTACATAGGTTTCGCAGCAAGACTTATTAGCATTATCACGTCACATAATTCGCTAAGTGTAAAATATCTTTGATGATTTATTAAAACATCTATACATATTATAAAGTTCTAAGTGAGTCGAATCTGTACCTACATTAAATATTTTTTGGAAAATCTTATTGAAGTAGTCGTTATTATCGATACAGAGGTCGAATCTATAGTTTTTAGAATTTTTGTATGTCTATCTGGGAATGCATCACGAGAAAACCACTAGATTTGATGTGGTATAATGATAGCTGGTTATCCGGGTCAAAATTTAGGATAATTTTTACTGCGGGAAAATGTCTCATCTCTGAGAAATCTATACTAACCGTTCAAAGGTACTTAGGGACGAACCCAAGCGGAGTGAGGGTGGGGCGCTAGTATTAAATAAATAAATAAATAAATAAATAAATAAATAAATTACGAATAATTATGAATTGGGAGACGTTGGCAATAAACGTCAAACAAGAGCCTATAATAAAACTTAATATCTTAAGTACCAGAAAAAATGTAAAGAAGTTTGTAAAGTAACCTCTAAAAGATACACAATACGTTCTGTAGAATTTTAATAATTTCATTTCGGGTAACTCGAGAAAAAGAAATATTAAACAAGTTAAGTACTTCTATTGTATTCTTAAATTTTCTAATGAGAGAAATTAAATTTTATTGCACAAACTTTTATTTAAGGCTAAATTTATTAAAATTTTATTTTATTTTAAGTTTCATAGTAAAATCGATAATCGAGTGTAAACATTAATGATTGTTGAGGGATTAATTAGATATTATGTAGGGATCGCGAATTAATAACTTTATTTACAGAATGTAACAAACGTTAATACTCGTGTGATTAAACTTATGGTTAATGAAGCCACATAACCCTACGACGACGTCCCGATATATTCAATTCTTATCAATCTAAGAAGTGAACATTTCAAGACTATATTAACTATAAATTGATTGGAAAAATACAAAATATATCTTTGTTGTTAAAATTAAAACAACAACACGATATCAGCTTTCTATCTAGGTACTTAGCCGGCTGTATCTCTGCTTTATGTTTCTTTGACTGTTTACTATCAGCTAATCCTATTGTTTGCCCTAAAGGTGCAAATCGTGGTAAATGTCAGTTTACTCTCGAATAAAGATAAAAAATAAATTATTATGTTAAATAATTAAATTATTATTTGAAAAATAATTTTTGAAAATTATTTCAATTTTAAAAAACACAATCTCAATGAAATAACAATTATAATAATGGATTATTTAAGAGGCTAGCGTCTGAGATACAGGCTCGGCCTTGTTCAGACGTTAGTATACCTAAACAAAGATTGTGCTAATTATATAGTTTAAAAATAAATGTCTTGTAACCCTTTTGTATTTACGTCAATAATGGTATTATTATTATTATTATTTATTACTTCATTTATATTTGTAATTTACTGTGATTAATTGACCTGTTGTAACTGAAACCAATTGGTTATAGCGTAAATCGAATCAATTTATTGTTCAGTATTTATATAAAATATTGCCATAGTATCATAGTCTAAAAATCATGATATGATATATAGTAAAATAAATTTAATTTATTTGAGGGCACGGCAGTGCTCCGCCAAGTCGAGCAAAAAAGAGCATAGCCGTAACAGCTTTCTCTCGAAGTCATTCAGAACAATTTAGACTCCCCTGTTGCTTCGTTGTGGATATAGCTAAAAGCGTAAATTTTCAGTCACTAAGAGGGTATAATATACCTAAGTATATTCCCAAATTACATTCATTTTTTTATTACATTTCGTTCATAAATAGAATGTCTTTGATAAATACAATGACTTAGCCCTCGAAAGGAAACAATCACATAAAAATAACCTACTATTTTAAATAGACTGGTATAAATAACCCATTATTGTACTCCAGCATCTGATATTACAAGGTAAATACATAATAATATGAATTTAAACTCTTATATTAAATAAATTAAGTCACTAAAACAATATTCATTTTAAGAAATCCCTTATTTTAAGGAGAATTTCATCCGTAAATCTCTTGAGAAATTAATATTTTTTTTCTTTTTTCATACAAAGCAATCTGGTATAGTAAACATTTCTAGCCAAGGCCGTGGCTAGTAACAATTTAAGTTCCATTAATATTTGTGTAATAAAAGTAAATTAATTTCTGCCTTTAATTTTTTATTATTCTTTAAGTTTAAATGTATACGTAATATTTTAGAATGTTGACCAAGTTCAAAAAAGGTGTAGTTACTGAATAAATGTATGTGTTTTCCAATATGATTACCACTCGCCTTATGATAAACGAAACTGTCGTGTGGAAACCTCCATGTCTGAGAGAACCTAGCATTTTTTTCTTTATTCTACTCCATATTTCGTTATAGGTTATTATTATTAATCATGAAGTCTAATATTAACATAGATGTTTCACATCTGCCGAGCCTCCCGTGACGGCCAACTTTTTTATAAAAGATATTTTCCTTTGATTCACATAAAGAATGGATAATTAAATTGAGTGATTTAATTATATAGAGTTATAATTAACTTTTGTAGTACTTCATTAGTGCACAACGCATTTGCAAAACTTTACTTATTCTGCGAGTTTTAAGTCTTAAGTGTTTTTATCTAAAGTTAAACAGAATCTTGAGCAGAAATTCCTTTGTTAGGATTTTTTTGTAGAAAGGAATTTATTGTATATGTACAGTGAAAAGTATTTACTTTCTAAGTGAATACTTAAAATACATAAAGTTTGAAATTTTGATTGTTAAAAATTTTTATATTAACTATTACCAAAAATTAACTGAAATAATCAAATTCATTACTTACATTTCATACATATTTTAAATTATTTATATTTTACAAAATATTATTTTGTTAAGAAAATTTCATAAGTTATGTAATATAGTTATTGTTGTTTGATTAACCAAGCCACAGCAAAGATGGTGAACAATGACTACATAATCAGTTGTAGCCCACATAAATAAGAAAACTACCATTTTAGGCTTACGAGAGTTACTCCAATAATACTAGTAAGCTACCGACTTCAAAAACTAAATACAAGCGATGACTTCGCTGATTATGAACCAGTTTTCATGATTATTTTTATTGATTATGATATGTATTCAGCTCTTTTTAACGTCCCACTTCTGTGCACAAGCCTCCTCTCAATTCGAGAGGGATCAGGTCATAGTCCACCATGCTGACAGAAAACATACGAAGTTCCCTCATACATACAAATTAATAATAATAATAATTAATTACCTCACAATGTTTTCTTTCACCGTAAGGTAATCAAATTGAAGAAATGATTCGCACATTAAAATATTAGATGGAATAAGGTATTTGGACTAGTGAAATAAGATCCTGCATTTTATATTTTATAGAATAAAACAAATCAGACACAAATACTATTATTATTAATATAACTGCCTCGGTGGTGTAGTGGCTAGCATGTACGGCTGCACACCCGGAGGTCCTGGGTTCGAGTCCCGGGTCGGGCCAAGTTTAGTTATTGAGTCTTTCTGTATAGTAAGTCTCAGTAACAGCCCGAAGTTGGGAAGTTAGCGGTGTTTCACCCCCGTGCCTCGGAGAGCACGTAAAGCCGTCGGTCCTGCGCCTTGACTCTCACCGGTCGTGTCGAGTGGTCGTCCCACCGGAGTATGAGAGTGATAGGAATAGAGAGTGCACTTGTGTCTGCGCGTAC